TTTTGATGTAAATAAATAAAACAGCAACCATGCTAAAAATGAAATGGTGGTTTTAATCCATGAATTGTATTTCCATCTCACACAGTCAGGAAAAAATATAATTTTATTGTGGATCACGCCCCTCGATGTCATTGACTGCATAACTTCTCCCTATAAAGAAATGATCACCTTTGTAACTGCTGCAGATGCTCCAGAAGTTTTGAACACATTTGAGGACTGTTGGAACAATTTATTTAACCGAATGCAAAATATCTGATTCGAAAGATGGAAGTCAATGAACGCAATTGAAACACAAAAGTCTCCAAAACTATGTCTTTAAAACTATTCAAAAAATTCCCACGGAAAGATCAGGTAGTCATTTCAAGTTTGAGAACAGAACATTTTAAATTAACACATACATAATAACTGGAGAAAACCCACCTAAATGTGACCGTTGTAAAGTTCTTCTACATGTAAAACATACATTAAATTACTGCCCTCTATACAAAAGCAGCAGGCAAAAGTACCAATTAGACATGATAACATTCTTTACTCAAAATAGTATCAAATGAGAATTATTGATTTTGTTACGGAAATCAATATTTACAATGGCATTTAGAGGAACTACTTATTATACGTGTGTTGTATGTACCATCTTGTATGTATTGTATTGAATGTATTCTATGTATTGTATTGTGTTTTATGTATGTATTGAATTGTTTGTATTGCATTTTTGTTCTGGTTATGATAATTAATATGGTTTTAAATTTCATAATGTAATTATAAAATGTATTTTTATGTTCAGTTGCTAATGACCTTGATGTCAACGCAACAATAAATAAATTTAAATTAGGAAAAGAGCTTTGCAGGCTAATGTAATTCAATTATGCTTAATACAATGTTAAAAAAATATGTTAAGACTACGAAATTCATACAAATTCCAAATGTACTTGTTTTATGGTATTTAGGTAAATGTTAGGTCTGATTAAATGATCATTTTCTAAAATATACATCATGGATTATCAAGTGCAAATATCGTAATAGATCGCATTTTCCTGGCAAGTAAATTGTGATGAATGCTGAGTTTGATTCCATAATGCAATTGAAATTGATAGAGATGTCAGGATAATGGAAAGTCCTGGGATTGGATCCAAGAAGCATCAAATATTTGCACTTTGGGTCAATCTATTTTTACTATTATTAGAAGTAATTTTACAGTAATGACAAAAATGTTTCTTAAGACAAAGTACATTTGATCCAACATGCAAGTCATTTTATGATGTTGATATAAAATAATTTATGCCAATTGTACCATATAAAAAAATATGTGTTTTGTGTTGTAACTTGAAAAGTTGGAGATAAATAATAATTGCATTAACACACATACATGTTGATGTCAATAATTGTTTCAATAATGTAATCTGTGTGCAATTCATTATTATGTAATGTCTGCAAATCCAGATTATTCTTCTGTGTCTACTGCTCTATAATTATGTAAAATTGTTTTCAGAATATATTTCATGAATTCTATACAGAAACATGTTTGTTTTTTATAATTGCTAACCAATTGTTCCCAAACCAAATTATTTTCTTATTTTTAAATAGATGCACAATTAGCTGAATACGTGATATTATGGAGGTTAATATCTACATTGGATGTCCAAATAGTAGGTTGAGTACTCTGCCCCTGAGCCCGTTGTTTCAACACTCAAGAAGTACCCATTCTGGCCACAGAATCAATGTTGAGTTTCAGTGATGTACCTCTAGGTTACCTCTTGTACCATAGATTAACACCCTGCTTGTACTTTATTGTAGATGGTGTCACATGAGTTTCCCCTCTTATTCTATATTCCTCCATGATTTGAGTATGTTTTTTAATAAATATTATTTTTCTTTTATTTTGGCTTATTGGTACCAATAATATTATTAATAAAATAATAATTAATTTTGAAAAAAGAAAGCTTTGACATGCATAATTTATTGTTTCAATAATTATTGAATTAATTTTTGTTTATCAATAGTCTTCATGTTGATATTCTGAACAATAAATGTGTGTGTACCTTATTTCTCTATAAATCAAATACTCATATCTGGAGAAACATCATTATTACATTATATGAAGAGGAGCAAACATCTTTTGCTTGGAGTGGGGAAGAAGAAGACGAAGAAGAAGAAAAGACGAAGAAGAAGAAAAGACGAAGAAGAAGAAAAGAAGAAAAGAC